ACGAATTATTACAGCTTTTTATTATATCTTATAGGCATAACGGAGTTCAGGTTCAAAAATTTTGTATGTATCATCAAGATTTTATTATGTTACATTTTAATATTAAGATCTAATTTGAGTTCTATTAATGGGTGGGAAGTTTCTCTTCATGTTGTACATGTCATGTTACCAATTTCACATTTACTTATTGTATTTTCTATGTAATACAGTTGTAAATTCCATTAAAATAGTAAAAAAATAAAAATAAAAATATTAAGATCATGTTGTAGGGTGTTGTTGGATATATAGAATGGATCAATAAATATTGTTCGAAGGCCTTCGGACTGAAAGGATTGGGTGCGTTTGATGATCGAAAATTAAACTATTCCACGGGACGTTATTCCGTATAAATTTTATCTGAACCTTATCAAAGAAATACTTTAGCAAAAATCCTAACTATTTCCATCCATTCCTAAGAATAATTATAATTATATAATAATATAAATTGGCAATAAGGCGCGATGTATAGTATAGATTTTTAAGAAATTAAAAATTTGCCCTAAATGTGGTTTCGTTCCGTTTATTTTATGTTGATAAAAAACAATACAATCTGAAACTACAGAATGTATGTAAATTCAACTTACACAGTTCGAGCAACGATTAATACAATTAAATGAACAGTTGTATAATTTGTAAAATGGGGGTAGACAGACAACGAGTACCCCCTTGTATATTTATGTTTCTTAAAACGTCAAATGTGTACACATTTCTAAACCATAAAACTCTTATAAATTAAAATAAATTTCAGATGGAATCAACCATATCTAGAACGATATATTTTTGTAAAAAAAAAATTATTAATTTTGTTAATTCCTATAATAAAAATTCTATTTGATAAATAAATATTTTAAACATCTATATTACATTTGAAAAATCTTATGATCCAGCCCATATAACAAATGAGGTAAACTGATCCCCCTTTTTTTACATGGTAATAAAATCCCATCTTAGGCAATGACATCAGTAAATTTTTAGAGTGGTTAAAACGTTGTTTTTTTTTCAATTATTGTTAAAACGTTATTTTAAACGATTAATTATTTTCTGTATAAGTAAACTGCCGAGTTAACCGCAAGCGTATGACGCAAATGACCTTCGAAACATTGAATATGATTGAGACGCCATGAAAGAAAATTGCCTATTGTTTCGAAATAATAGGCTTTGTGTGTCGTGGCTTGAAGTTGCCTTTTCAGGGAGCCCTGTTATCATTCCATTTTAACGATAAATATTAATGTGTCTAAAATATATTAGAGCCCATGACAAATTAAGTGTTCTTACTAATCCACGATTCAGATTATTTACGTTAGTTAAAAAAAGTAACTCTAGGGATATGTTGGAAATATTTTAAATAATATTTTTTTTTTCATGGTATTATAGTTTTCATGTATCATTAATTATTGTTTAAGTTTATTTTATTTGTTTGTTATTTTTCTGTAACCAAACTACTTTATTCCCTCTGTCCCGAAACTTAAAAATTAGACATTGCAAAACCATTATCCTACCTACGGTTCTTTTTGGATGCGAAACGTGCCCGCTTTCATTTAGGGATGAGCATCTAAAAGTTTTTGAAAATTAAGTATTACGCAGAGTATTCCGACAGAAGAAGGAAGAGCCAACCGGAGAGTTTTGAATTAACTTACAAAATAAGTTATCTAGAATAAACATTCAATAATGTTCTGTTTACTGATTAAATAAATAATAATATTAAATATAAAGTGCCAAGTTGACACATAATGGTATACATAAAAATAAATAAGAAATCAGTTTCGAATTTCATTTTAGTATTGGTATAAATAAGAAAAAATATTTATCATATTATGACTAATCAATATATTCAAAATTGGTACTTAATAAAAAAAAAATACTACACACAATCATAGAATGTATGTATGTATATATATATATATGTATATATATATATACATATATATATATATATATATATATATATATATGTATATATATATATATATATATATATATATATATATATATATATATATATATATATATATATATATACATACATGATAGATAAAACAAAAAGTAGTAATTAGTTAATAAAATGGCAAGACAGTTTGTAAAAGAACTGAGACACAATTTATTAAATTCTTATTAGTTTGAAATTAGAACTGAGAAATCATCAAAAGAATTTTTAAACATCAATTTATTAGTTAGAAAAACATGTATATACATACACACACACACACATATATATATATATATATATATATATATGTATATGTATTAATCATAAAAGATTCAAATTTTAATAATTATATTGTTTAATATATAGATGCATTTGTTTTTATCTGACAATAGATATATTAAGAAATCATGAAGAAATGTTGAAAAAGGCAATTTGAGATACAAAAAATAAATTAAATGATGAGATTACAGTAAATTATCTACAACATATAAATAAGTACTTAACCCTATGCATATTTAGCATGATTTTAGGGTCTGACTCAATAAAAAAATTTTTATTAACTTATTTTATCCATTTAAAAAAGAAATTATACAATCCTTCGAACCCTAATTATCTTGGTTTGCAATTAACTATTTAAGTGTTAAAAATTAAGACATTATGCTATCACGCATGCCGTCTACCATTAAAAAATAATAATTAAGATAATGTATTCTATAATCAGTTCATAATCCGTTAATAATTTCCACACATCAAATATGTTAATTTATATAGATAATGAAATAAAAATTTAAATAAGGTTTCGTTTATAGTTTTTGAACAATAGAAATGAGGAAAACCGCTTCTTGAGAGCGCATCTCCAACAGACAAGTCCTAAATCAACAGTCAACATCCAGGAAGCTACCGTATATCTGTCTGACATTCGAAATGATTGTACAAAACTATATGTAAAAAAAAAAAAACATACCATTACCAGGAGTTCAATTTTTTTTTCTTTTGACAATACAAGTTATATTCATTTAAATCCCTCAAAGATGGGCCAAGAGCCCGAAACTTTGACAAATTTAACAGGTAAAATAAAATAAAAAATTAACAAACTGAATAAATTTCTTCATTTGAAAAAATACAAGAATCTACGACGCTCATCAAATTAAAATATGTTCTAAGTTTATTCATTCATTCACCCAACCTTCACAGAAGCCTTGATATAAAAAGTAATATATGAAGAAGTAATACGGTTCATATTCGGTTATTTTGAACGCTAATATAATTAATATTGGTTATAAATAGTCTATACGCAGCCATTCTAAAGGTTTTTATTGGTGTCAAAATGACTGCGTCCTGACTATTTATCACCTATGATATGTAAAACAGTCGACTACTTTTCTTCAATAATATAATTAGCATATATTATCGAGCGCTTGGGTTATGATTAACTTCGTGCATAAATACTAAATCTAAATCTGTCCATTTTTTTTCATACGATTTAATGCAACTTTAAATAAAATCCTGGTCTTTAAAGAAAATCTTGAAAAGTGTAATTTGACTACCGACCTAAAAAACAAACATACCGCTGTCTTGTATCCCACATATATGGTCTTCAAACTTGGGCACTAACAAAAAATGAACTGGATAAATTGTATTCTATGATGCAAATGAAACTATTGAGATGTATGGCTGGGATCAAAAGGAGGGAAACGACAAAAATCCGAGGAAACCTTTTTCATGTTAAAGTTACACATTTAAGTAAGGAAGCCCAAAAAACTAAAATGGAAGTAGGCTGGGACTGAAGGAATGAAGGACGAAAAGCATTAGCGAGTGGACTCCGATATCTCTGACTTGGCATATCGGAGAAGATCATACATGAGGTAGAGTAATGAAATTACATGCAGAGAAGGGACGAACTGGATGAAATTGACCTGAGACAAAGAATGTTGGTTCGAAATTATAAAGAGTAACTATTTTATTACTTTATTAAAGAATTATGAAGCTTTATTTTAAAAATTATATATATATATATATATATATTTTTTTTTTATTGAGGAAAAAAATGCATTTTGCCTCAATCAAGGGCATTGAGTATTTGCGATGTGAGAAACTCATTCATACAATATATAGAATTACAAAAATAATAGAAATTACAACAAAAATAAAAAAAGAAAGTTTAGTAAAACAGATGGAATAAAATATGATACAACGCAAATTAAAAAATAAAAAATAAATAAGAAGAAAAAAAATAATAACATTCATGCTTATTTACAATATTTACAGTCAGCCGAGGGATCACCAAGTCGGGCCTTTTCCCTTAGTGTGGAAGACAAGGCAGGACCACAAGAGATCCCAGCGCTTCTCTCTCAGCCGATCACTGAGATGGGGATCCAGTGGAGACTGAGAAAGAGCACTAAAGCCACATACTACCAGGACACCAATGACGTATTTACAAAAGATCTCAAGACCACTGCGTATTTAACCTTCGAGGAGGATTGTAGGGATGGCTGGAGCTGGATAAGGATTGTGCTAAGGGATTAGGATGATGGATTAAGTTTTGATGAAAATTTAAGAAACTGGATGAAATAATGTCAAGGACATAAGGGATGTTAAGATCATGATGTAGAGTTTTGTTGTAACATAATAGGGGGCTTTTACTATTGTACGAAGGACTTTAGACTGGAAGGATAGGATGCGTTTGATGTTCGAAAATTTAGTTGTACACCACAGTTCAAGTCCGTAGGTCCAAATGGGGTTTAGTATGGGCTTGTATATTAATAGTCTGTTTCCAATTAATAGGATAGATTTTCTGTTAAGTAGTCTGTATAACTGGCCAAATCGTCGGTTAAGTTCTTGTCTTTTAAGTCTGGTATGAGGGTTCCATGTTAGTCTTAAAAATGATATATTAAAATTTTATTCTCTCTGTTTTGTCTTTCATGTTTTATTTTATATTGGATATCATTATACACGATATCATTTGTATTTTTAATATTTCCAATTCAATAATTATATTTTAAGAGTTGAGCTCCATCGTAGCTCCTTCTAGAGAGTCTTTCGTCGTGGAAATGACGTCAGTATTACAATTATTATTAAGTGTACAATGAATAGTTATTGATCCATGCGTTGAAATATCTTTTGCGAGAGACTTGGATATTATGGCATTTATTTCTTCCTCTGGATATTTCTTGGTTTGATATGTGGATTAGCGGAGAGGCGGAGCATGGAGTAGATAATATTCCAGAGGAGCTAGTTGTGTGGGACATCTGCCCCGTAGCGGATGAAAGGGCAGGCCAGGTATCCGACAATGGCCATACCCCAAGCTGTATTGTATGTCAGAGAGCAGGTATAAGGACCATTACCTTTGCACTCTACCAGCTATCCTCTCAATCCCTCCCTCTCTCCCTCTCCGCCTCACTCCATCCCTATCTCTCTCTCTCTCACTCTCTCTCTCTCTTATTCCTCTCATATTTCTTTCTTTTACTTTTTTTTTTATTTTATTTTTCTTCTTCTCTCTCATTTTTTCTCTTTTTTACACCTGCACTTTAAACCCTTCGCCCGACCCTTTCCAGCCTCCCCTGACGAATCATAATGTACTTCATAATTTCTAACAATTAATAAGGAATCCAACCTCTGTTCTACCTGCCCCACTAATGACTAGCTTCTTTTCTCTTGAGGTTTAACTTTTAATGTGTATTTTTTTATCCTGTAAACTGGCTCAGATGTGATAATTATTCCAGGTAATCCTTGAAATCTCGACTGATTATTTAGTTTTAACGGGATCATTTTATATGAATAGCTTAAGCTTCAGAGTGGCGAATCAAATCTGATATGATCAACTTCATTTGATTCATATAATTGAAGTTCAACGAATGGAAAAAAAAATAATAGTAAGATTTTTGTTAAACAGATGTTTTTTTTTCGGATTACTCCGCACCATACCCCAAGACATTAACAAGAAACAAACTGAAGATACAATCAAAGTTAAGTCCTGGAGATAGCTCGATTTTCATTCCTATTTCCAAAAATAGCTGGAATTCGGTCTTAATATATCTTTCTTAATCTTTTTCAAGAACTTGACTAAATTACGGCTTATCAGCGTATCACGGAGCGCTGTCTGAGCAGAACTCGTCGATTTTCGAGTGTTACATAGGTATGGTTTACCATGAACTTATAAATAGAAATAGAACTTTATTCTGGAACGAAGTCCAACAGAATGTTAATAAAGAAAAAGGATTACTTCTTGCCAGAAGAACAGTTACATTAAAAAAAGTAAACTGACAATATATACAAAACGAAACAATCAGACTATTTACAAAAACAAAATAATCGCTGCTTAGCTAAGACAACTAATGAAGGAATAAAAAAGATAGGAAGAAAAACATTAATAAAAAATAAATTCCTCTAATAAATGGACACCAAGTAAAAAGTAAACGATAAAAAAATAAAAATTTGTGTATTCTTTCTTAGTAAAAATTAAAACATATATAAGAAAATGAATAAATGAAGCAACTTTAAGAGCATAAGATTCTTGTAGAACAGAACCGTCATTGTATGCAAATTATAAATGCAAGTTCGTAAGTATATACAAAATCCTGAAAAGAAGAAAAAAAAATAGGTATAAATAAAAACACTGTTTTTTAAACAAGGCCCTGTTACTTAATACGTGGATGGCAAATTTCTGACTTGTGGATAGGAGAATGTTAAAAGAGGATAAGGAGGGGGCATGCCGGATTTTTAAAGTGAAGGAATTCCAGAAAGTAGGGCAACGAAGGAGGCAGATCTGTGAAAAAGGGTGTAAAGGTCAGAAGGTCAGGATCATGTTATTCGAGAGTGGTCAGAAGACTTGAACTGAACATACACGGAATAATAGAGTTGTAACTATAAATTAAAGTCAATTAAGGTATTATATTATTCACTGATGTTTAACATGTTAATTTTAATTATATTTATATGCCTTGCTAATTGAAAAGATGAATGGTTAATTTTTTACAATTTTGAACTAAATGGCTTTTTTTCGAATGTCCACAATACAAAGTCTAGTTTTTTCCCAGAAGAGGCAAAAATTTGGTTAAATTTAAAATATACTTTGTTTAATTGTTGAGACTAAAAAAACTTTTTTTCTACATAAGTATCTTTCCTAAGAACATCTTTAATAAGAAATAAGTACCTAAATTTATACCTTTATTCTCAGTTCTATATTTCGACAATGCAATCACCTCCTTCGAAATCAACTTACTCACTGTCTGCATAGATAACTTTTTCAACTAAAAATATCACTAAAATGACATTACTCAAAAATGTTGAAATTGGAGTTAGTCATTCTGTGGTTCATAAAAGCAGATGGAGTGACTAGATTTTTATTACCTATCGTCGATATATTAAATAGACATTTTGTGATTATAATGGTCTTGATAACTTGTTATCTATAAGCTTTAAGCTTTAGCTCCGTTTAAAATCAACTTCAAAAAATTTTACAATAGCCCAGCATTGTCAGAAAATAATTTCTATTCAAAGTAGAGCAGTAAGTTGAGTGTTGTGTGTTGCTCGCACCAGATTTTTTTAATTTATATTCGCCTCAACCATCATTTGGTCGCATAAATTACAAGATCAATCGATTTAAGCACAATATGTTTAATATGTTGTTAGACACTGTGGTGTAATTTTGGACTTAACCAGCTTGCATATATTTTTTTTTTTTCATTTTTCCACAAATCAAACGGATCCTCCCTATGCCAGAATACATGTACGATTTTCCTTCTTCTTGTTACAAGTAATGTGCTTGGGGACAATGTTTTAATGCCGCGTTGAGGATGAGGTAACAGTAGATCGGTCTGCTGTGAAAGGTGAGTCCTGGGGGATGCCAAGAATGGAGCATGCCCCCAATGGCCTAGATAAATTATTCATGGCTCTATATCAGTGCAGGAGCGGGAGCGCGGCACCCCACAGCGGCAATTTATGTCCGGCCCTCATTTGATACGGCCACCCCGAGAATACCAATTTTAATCCTTGACTTTTCGGGTCCTTCTAATACATATTCAGGTGTTATGCCGCCTTGAACGTGTAAGGTTTGATTAACTGGTATTCGAGAGCAGTTCTACAAAACGTGGGAAAAAGATGATCTCTACGGTGATACCTGTTCATCAGCAGAAAAAAAAAATCCCATTTCCTCAGGTCAGTTCCCTTAGCTGTCGGCAAAAGACTGCCTGCGGCGCAACGTTGGAGATGCGATTCCAAGACATAATCGCTCTACCGTCTTTTGGTGGGATAGCTTAAACCGGGTACTGAATCCCAAAGGATGAACTCAAATTGGGCCCTGAAATGTTTAATGAGTCAGCGTATAGCTCGAATTGAATCTCGCAACCCAAACGCTCAATTCTCTGAGGATAGTCTCTTTACCAAAATATTTCCTCTATTAAATGTTGAGTGGGTAGTAGTTTGTACTACACAATGGAATGACAAAATTTGTGATAGAAGTAGTGGTGTAAGATTCTTGCGAATTTCTTTTTAATTTCGAGCTATTTTTGAGATCTGGGACCCAACTGGAGGTCTTAAAAAAGGACCCTATTCGAGTTCCTTTTGGTTTGAAAGGGTAGCCTTCGCCCCTCAGATTTCCATTTAAGGCAATCACGATGAAACTCCCAAACGCCAATAATTACAATTCAAGTAGATAATTTATCGTTGAATGAGAAACTACAGAGAATGCTGACTGAATCGACTCCAGTGAACTCCCTTTACTGAAAGACGCATTGTATTCTGTAAAGGTACATAAATATTCCATTGCTTAGCTAGATAAGAAAGATGAACAACTTCTGGAACGACAACGGAGAAGCAATAACTGAAATAATCAAATCAAGCATATCTCTCCCAAGTCTATTGTTGACAGAAAAGATAGTGATAGAAATTAACAATGCTGAGAATTAACGGCCGATTATTCATAGAAAAATTAATTGAACTAGTCAATCAGCTCGTGCCACACCCTACGGCATCGTAATTGATTTTCAATTGATTTCCGTCCAGCTCGCTCAGACTTGTTCGTAATTTTTTTATAGAACAATCAGAAGAGATAAACAACATTTTTCGCTGTCGGTTCCTGCGTTTCAGCTCTGTTGCATCTAAAACCATTTGAAAGTTTGAAGTAAAGCTTGTGACGAGAGCTTCTTGACAGTTCTTTATAAAAATGTATACTTAGTAGGGCTTAAGAAGGGTGCACTTATCTTGATGGCCAAGTTTCTGTAAACAGGGACTTTGGGTTTTGACGATTATTTTCCAGATGGGCGGCCTCGGGTGCGGGGGCAGAATAAGAAGGGGAGAGGGTTTAAGTCCTGTTAAGGCGGGACCCTCCTTATTAATTCCGTTGGGGGGGTGGAGCTAGGTAATTGTTTGAGGGAAGATTTGCTCACCTGTGACCAACACCAGCTCTCATTACACGGGGTAAGGCCTTGTTGTGTCGCCCCACCCTCAAACTTACGTCTATTACGTTTTTTACCATGTTCACCCTCCTTACTTCTAAGGTCCCTTTAAATTAAACATTAATCCTCTCGTACCTTCTTGTTGGTCTCCACAGACGGATCTACGAGGAGGGGGGGGGGCATTTCGTACTGAAGCTCCCCTCCCCAAAATGGTAAAATATAACCATGTTTTATGAAAAATTATGTCTAAAAGTATTATTTAGTTCGTGTAATTACATTTAATATGACTTTAAGAATCACTTAAACACCATTTCATACAGGTAATTTGGATATTTTATCTTCTTACAGAGTAACTATCGTTATGTATGTATGTATATATATATATATATATATATATTATATATATATAATATATATATATATATATATATATATGTATATATAAAGCTTCCGGACTGAAGCCTCCTCCCCCAAAAAATAAAAATTAAATCCTGGATCCGCTAGTATACGTCCCTATAAATCTACAGCGAACGATATGATTTTTTTTTTACTTCTTTATCATGGTTAAAATAAATCATAGTGCACTTAATCTGTTTCAGATGGAAAAGAAATATACATGGCATTAATCTATATAAGAGGAAGTTGAAAACGAAAAGTAATATTAATAATTAAAGCTAACTGTCCCTTGAGCATGATTTGCACAGTATATCGGTCATTGATCAAATGGTAATATCAAATGAAAATAGTTAAATGTATGGGAAGGAGAAATTCATTTTTATTTTTATTAGGATGCTAAATATAATTTTGTAATATTGTGTGATGCGAAGAACGCATCCTTTTTTATTTTTTATTTATCAGTTGCTTACAATGGTTCACTATTGAAAATAATAAAACTAAATATATTAAGAAACTTTCCAAGTTCCACCGTAGCCACTAATGGGCCAATTTCAATGATTTTTTATTTTATTTTGTAGGTAATTTAGAAATCTATAACACCATCATTAATGAACTATTAATTGTATAGCGTTTTTAGTTATGCGCTACTAAACTTTTCATTCCCTAATGATAATTTTTTTTCGTGCTTTTTCTGGAGAATGTGTTCATTTTCCGACATTAGGGTAGAAAATAATCTTCAAAACGATAGTTCAATCATTGGATATGAAGGAATGTAAGAGACAACGGCATACCGGCAGAAAAAAATATCCTCTCAGGACAAATATATAACCCTAAAAAATGTGTATATCGATTATTATCATTTTTTAAATAAAATGAAAATCACAAATAAAAACAAAAAGGTTATTAATAAATTTAAATTTCCAGTTTTTGAATTAATAACAATTTAGTTTATCTCGCATAAGAAACCAGTGGCAAGTGAAGATAGAGGTATTAGAGAGCAGCATCCGGATTTGAAACTTTAAAAAATGTTAAAAGAATATTTCTCCACTGATATGAAACATGGAACGAACAATCATTACATATAACCGCAGAGAAATATTATATATGAATTGTTTATAGCATTTTAAGAATGTATTGTACTCGTCTTAAAGTTCAAAGGGTTCAAGTAACGTTCAATGCCACATGGAATCATTCAAGAAACCAAAGTGTAAACTCTGCGTTCCATAAGATATATTCAATCCTGAATTAGGCTTTAAAAATTACAATAACGAAGAAGTTATTAACAGTGAAATCTTAATGGAGGGCGTGAGTTAGTGATTGGGATGTCTACTTTATAGTAAGAGGTTGTGGATAACTAATGGGATAATGGAGGAATTGGATAACTAAGCGAAGGAGTCCGATAGAGGGATAGTAGTTGTGGGAGCAGGGGAGGGGTTAACCCCCCCCCCCAATTTGAACTGAAGTTAGTTAAAAAATCGGTATAAGTTCATTTAAAATTTGAGAATTATTGAAAACATATAATAAAGTTATTTTTTTCAACTATTTGTAATTGAAATTGGATTTTCGGATTATTATGTAATGGATCTTAACATTATCCAAAGGTTTTATTCATGCCCTCCTAAAAAATGTAAGAATTTTCATGGATTAAAAAGATTAGAATATTAGACGGAAAAATAAACGCTTATTATATAACTTGTGAAAACCACTTGATTTCCTAAACATAATAATAACAATTTGTAGTTCTATGCTATTTATAAAATAGTCCATACATTTTTTTTTTAATGCATTGAAATTCCATCTCTGGATTCGACATCATTCTATTTAAAATTTGATGACTGTAAATGAAAAGTAATTAAGGTAGCATAGTAAACTTATAGATTATTCAGTTATAATTTATTTTATATATTATTATAGCTTTTCTTAAATTTTTATTCAAATAAAACGTTAAATTTCTTATAAATATTTAAAAAATAAATAAAGGACTTGCAAGATAAGTTGATTTTAGAAAACCGATGGATCAGGCACCCTCTTTATGACCCGGAGTACCGAAGTCTAGCTCTTTATTAGTTCGGTTAGGACACTTCCTTAATAAAACTACAATTATCCGCTTATATAAGTTGGATTTTATCTGGTGGTTTCTACATTAGCCTGTGGTTCGGGCCTGAGCCGAAATGTAAATTAGACAGAAAAACTGTTAACATCTGTCTCCAGGCGTAAAAAAAAAAAAAAAAAAAAAAGAGCTGGTCGCGATCTACGAAGAACCGTTAGCTTTTATGTCTAGTCTTTTTTTTTTTTTTTTTCCTTGTGACACTAGGCCCTGCAATTACTATCAGTAATGGAAACGTCTGAGTAATGACAATTAACTAATAAATCCATCTACGTAATCTCTTTAGTGGGTCGTTAAAGACAATTGTTAAATGACATGTTGAGAAACAGAGCCGTTCTATTGGCCTATTTACAACCTCTTAATTTAACATCACACATAAATCTTATCGGAAATGTAGGAAATATTGTCTATCGGATATTGGTGAATAATACAAGGGCACAAATATATCAACTGGTCTAACATTGAAGAAGCGACTTGCCATTTTATCGTACCATAGAGGTAATTAAATAATTTAAAAGATATAGATACGGACAGCAAATGATTTAAATATACGACGCATGATCGAAGTTCGAGGTATGTTCAACTACAGAATTTAACCCTTAGATGTAAAATGTCCACGACAACTAATTTTTATTGTTTATGTATGCAGAAGATACTAGAGTAATAATTAATGAGGCCAACAGATAATGCCAAAAAAATAAGCTGTTCGCGTTAAATATATTATTATCCTGTCATATTATCCGATGGAATTGCATCCCCTCCCTCCTACACCCCTACATCCTACCCACCTTTAAATCCCGCTTATTCAATCACTTCCTATCCATCTAGTTCTCATACAATTGTAAATAGCTTTTTCTATAGATATTTAAATAAATATTAGGGTTTTTAATGTGCGTTTGTTTTTTTTTAATTCAGTAATATTAGAAGTTAACTTTTATTTGTTTAATATTTCCCTATTTTAATTTTTTTTATCCTTTTTATAAAACTCTAAAGCCCACAATTACAGTATTATGAATTGTTCTATAGGGACTTGTCCCTGAATAAATTAAGCATATTATTATTATAACATATGCTTAATATTACATTACAAAAGCGGCGATTACTTCGGTGGTACTAATATGGGAGAAATATTTACACAGTATAAAGTCTGTCCAGGGATCTAAAATAAACGAAATTAAAAAAAAATACCGCTTCCCCGTCCAAAAAAAAACAAACAAAAAAACCTATACCACTGCAACCCATAGAGATTCTTAACTCTAGAACAAGTAGCAGATCTAAGGTTTTATTTTGTGTTTTTTGTGTGTGGGGGGGGGAGGAGTAGGTTTAATAGCATTAATTACTCAAGAAGAAAGTGAATAAAAAACTGCCTATATGAAATGATGTTCAAGTGGTCATTGAAGGTCAAGAAAATAATACAATAAAAATAACGGTAATTATAGGAACAATGTTGCTTAAATTTTTTATTAACGCGCGCTTATATGCTTACATTTACTAACTATATAATGTAACGCATAAAGTAATAAATTTATAATTAAATTATAATATGATTTCAAAAGAGAATGTATTGTGATTGATTAAGTATTTAGCTAATATCATCATATACACAAATATATACAAATAAAAAGAACTATTATTTTTCCAATTTGAAGAGGTTCAGCCCGACAGCCCTCCCACATCTATGTAAACATGAAAGTGACTAGTACCACATATCATATTTTGCCGAAGGAACTTTTTAATAGGGCTTAAAAACTAGAAAAACTAGTCCTGAAGGTTCCGCATACTATATAAATTAAAAAAAAAACTTAACTGATTTTTATAGTCAAACTAATCTCTACTTCACGAAACAATATATTGTTAATATTAATAGTGATAAATAGTAAAGTAAAATATAATTTTTTCTATTTAATCATCTGCCTTAACAATTTTTATTTTTCTTCTTCTAAACGAACTAAAAAATAATAAGTGATAATTGTTAATATTTAAAAAATAAATAAATATATGTACAAACATTTTTTTTTACTGCAATATTATTTGTTTTCTGTTAAAACTGGACTTGAAGCTTGGTATTATATCATAGAAGTGTAGGGTTGTTCGAGTTTCCACTCGGGCCAGATAAGGGTGGGACTGCAAACTCGGTCATCAGATAGTGGGTGAAGTTGCTCAAAGCAGTCAAGCCATCTTGCCCACAAACTCAGAGATTTAGATCTTATGTAATTGTAACCAATCCGAGGATTACTATCAGGACTGTTTAAGTGGACTATAAAGGATTTATTTGTTTATTTTTTATTAGTGAAGTTTGTTTATAAACAAATATAACACGTATTAACTATTAAAAAAAAAATTCAAGGTTTATACTGTGCGTTTAGCTATTTCAACGTATATATTCCAACCTATTTCAAACATTTCAATGTACATATATTTGATATGATTCAAACAATGATGCAAAATAATGAAAGTTATCGAAATCATGGAGATAATTGGTATATAAAACCCTAAAATCCTAGGATTTGGATTGATACGAACACATCCGATCCGTTTCACGGGGGGATTTCGTTATTTATTTTTTAAAAGATTCGAATAAATCAAAACCGTCAAAACTAATAACAGTTTCATAATCTAAATTTATAACACATAGGATATGATGCCGACAAAAAAAAAAAAAAAAAAAAAAAAATGCTATTCTAATTAATCAAAAATCGAAAGGGCAACCTTATCATCGGAATTCAATTGTAGATAAGATAGTATAAAATATAGCTGCATGTCGTTATCAGTTTTTGATAACAAGCTCGAGACAAATTATTAGAAATGTTTTATGCCGAGTTGTTAACTGGATTATAAATTACTAATATTTTTCACATGAATTTATTTATTGAGCCAACAACTAAAGATAAAATAGTAATAACTATAAAATTATAAATAGTCGATTCATTAAATGACATTGAAAAACATTGATATTTAATGACAAGCATGTTAGTCTAAATTAATAAATCATATATATATATATATATTGTAAAATAATAATTATTTTTGAAAATTAGGTCACTTACAATTTTAATAAACTACATAAATTCGGATTTTATTCCTTTTATTTGTTAACGGGTCGATCCCTTCTTTTCTTATACATAGAATGGGTTATATAGGAACTTGAGTTTTTGTGCCAATGATGGCTCTTTGTTTTTTCCAGCTCTGAAGAGGATCCCATTCTGTGTATAAGAAAAGAAGGGATAGAAAAGTTAACCCATAAAAGGAATAAACTCCGAATTTATGTAGTTTATTAAAATTGTAAATGACCTAACTCCCGAAAATAATAATTATTTCTCAATATAATATTTAAGTGTCGATGAAAATAATAATTTTGTAATATATATATATATATATATATATATATATATATATATATATATATATATATAATGAAGAGAACAATAGTTGGGGTGCTCAGTCAAAAAAGGAAGGCAAAAATAAATTATAATATTTATTTTTTACATCTGCCGACGTTTCGACCTGAAGTTCAGGCCATCATCAGGGCTTTCTCCTAAAATGTCAAAGTGAGAATGTCATTCTCACTTTGACATTTTAGGAGAAAGCCCTGATGATGGCCTGAACTTCAGGTCGAAACGTCGGCAGATGTAAAAAATAAATATTATAATTTATTTTTGCCTTCCTTTTTTGACTGAGCACCCCAACTATTCTTCTCTTCATTATCCACGACAGTCAACCAATTACCAATTATTTATATATATATATATATTACAAAATTTTATATATATATATATATATATATATATATATATATATATATATATATAAAGTATCAATATAATAATATTCAATGGTTCGTACATCCTTTACCGCTTAATTCATTATATTGTTTTTATTTGGTAAATGGTTTCCATTTACCACATTGTATGAGTTTACTATTATACATATAAAATATACACACACACACACACACACACATATATATATATATATATATATATATATATATTATTTATTTATTTTTTTCGAAATGGATTAATATTAGTCAATAGTATTAATTGAATAAGTACATTTTACTTTTATTTTTTTAAATGGGTTTGCTTTTATTTTTATTTTTTTGGCATTATGATTTTGAACAAAATTCTATTTTGCGTCGATTAACTTTAAACGCTATTGAAATATTTCTATACTCAATTATATTAAAATTTTCAACTTTTTATTACATCATTATTTATATTATGTGAATAGGTTTATTATACATATATTTATGTGTTGAATCATTGGAAATATAAAAATAAAATAAACTTGATATCAAGATTTTAAAAATTTACATAATTTCAATAAATTTATGGCTTAGAGCATTTTGTTCTCTTCAGGAAAATTGGAAGATAAACTCATGTATATCAAGGGTCAGGAGCAGAAAATAATACCTCATAAACCTCATCTTGGATTAGTAATTTTAATTGTTGGGTTAAGTTTAAATGCATAACTAATTATTCGACAAGCATATTTTTAAATTAATTAAAAACTCATTAAACTAATTAATTTTAAGATTTTTACTTTGAGATCTACATTGCTAATTAATATTATTCAGAATCTGACAACGTGTAATTAGCCATGTTTTTTTTGTAGCCTCTCTTGTAGAAACCATGCTTGTGTTTTCACGGTTATCCTGAATACATTTTTAGGTATTTCCTTTTTTTTTTCTTTTCAAACCTAGGGATAGCCGGTTTATATACTGCTTAAAAAGCCAGACATGATTTTTAGAAATACGAATTAATATTAACATATATTGGAGGAAACAAAATAGCGATTTCTTACATAACGTAATTTAACACAACAATGTCCTATAAATTCGAATACAGGAAAAGCATTAAGTCAAGTTCAACAAATAAATGAAAGAGTAGATGTATAAATCTATTTAAATTTAGAATTAGGTATTTAGTTTTTTTTTTTATATTTAGAAATGAAATAATCTGCCATGTGGACAATGTTTATAGTGAGATATGAACACATTCATATCATATAACATAAATTACAGATTTAGAAAAATTACAGAAAACATAAAATTAACAAAAGTAAAATAATAACTAAATAATAATAAAAAACTTATGTACAATAAAAAATAAAATAACCTAAACATAAGTAAATTAAAAACACAGTCATACCTATAGATAATATATACAATCAGGCAGGGAACCCCAAGCCAGCCTTGTCCCTCCAACTATAAAGGGAAAAGCAGGACTCCAAGAGATCCCTGCGTTAATCTCTCAACTGCGTCCCTGATGCTAAAGCCAGTGGAGATTGAGCGAGAGTGCTTTAGCCACATACACTCTTGTTTTGAGTGGAGAATCTGGCCATTGCCAGAACTCCAAGATATATACTACAAGATCTCTGGACCACTGCCGCTTCAACCTTCGAGGAGGTTTATAGGGACGAGTCTAATTAGATAGGGATTGTGCAAGGGATTTGTAAGGTTCTGATAGAATTTTGAAAAATTGTCATTGATAATGTCTAGGACAAATGGAATATTTAGGTAAAAATAAACCTCATATTCTGTAATAGTTCTAAATTTCGAAATTTTAGTCTGAAATTATCATTTTAAGTAAAAAGCACATAAGCGCCAGCATTTGAAAAATAATAGGGAGGGTCAAAGGCTAGAATCATATGATTACAGTATTTAATGCATATATGGGATAGGAGGTTGAACTTCATCTATAAAAGAATAGCCCAGTCACCAGCATTACCAGTAATATAATATAATAATTACGGCTTAAGGGTTAGTCCCTTTAATGAAATATTGGGGGAAGGGGGCGGAAAGTGTATTACCCTCTGGTGCCGGCGTCAAAGATCATTCGCCAATTACTATAATTAATTATACTTTATAATAAAGTTTTGAATTAAATGACTTACCTGGATCTGAGTGGTCGAGCTGCGGAGCTTGTGACAGCGGCCCTGGAGTACCTCCTGAACCTGGAGACCTGACATCTTCGCTGCCGTGTCCAGGGTACGACAAAGAACTGGACGGCGGCCTCTGTGGAATATAAGAAACGGAGACATAAATAAACATAGCAGATTGGTAGAATATGTTCTAAAAGCATGCACAATAATTATGTAAAGTAACGTATCTAACACAAAATGCAACAGTTTACATGCACGCATCTTTGTTGAGTGGTTGCTGCTTCAGAGGTCGCCTCGGTAAGGTTTATTATTTTTTCTAAATTGACAAATCCTCAAGAGTGTTATTATGAAAAAAAATAGATGTAATAAAATAAAAAAAATGTCAGCGAATGCCTTCAGATGAACAACAAGTTGCAATAGCCGAAATACCAAAAAGAAGAATACCGTAGAAAATCATGGGCTCAATAGAAAATCAGGTTGAAAAAGACAATTAAATCTACAAAATGTTGATACAATTTGGAAGACCTTATAGCATAATTTCTCGGGACTAAGAATGGATCCAACCGAATTAACCAATTGGATATTCGAATACCTGTGAAAAAAGAAGACAACGACGGCATGTATTAAGGAGTTCATGATGATCTACAAAGATCCAAAGTGCGGCAGGTTCAGATATTGAATATGGATACTTTTTGGACCGTTATTCAAGATTTGGAAGGGTTTTGAGTCAAAGAACTGCTAGAACCTAGACGGAACTGTGCCTTTATGAAGGAGGACTAAAGGAAACTTCATACAATTAAATTGTAGCGTGATTCTAAGCGGTGATTCGCAAATAAATTAGGACTTGATCTTTGAATGTAACTATAGGATAAAGGAATGGATCGAAGAAATGTTCTATCCGACGTTAAGATGAGAAACAGGAGGTTTCCATTCTAAATATATCGCGTGCATTAGACTTCTAAACATAAATGAGCTATGTTGTTTCTCATCTTTACGTAGAATAGGGCATTTCTTCGATGCCCACTTTATAGTAGTTTATTGTTAAGAATTTAACAGGCTATGTATAATCTTGAAAGGATAGAAATATTTAAGCCAACCAGTGCAGAAGATATGAAAAAAATATATTTTGTTATCTCAGTTATATCAAATTATAGAGAATTGAAGGGGTAATCTTGAATGTTGTCCTCCGCATATTATGGCAAAAATTCCATATTGTATATCGGCATGTAATCTGACCGGGTCTTTTTCTTGTTTGATCTCTTAGGTATTGGGGTAATCTTTTAATTTAATTTTTAAATATAGTTTAATGTTAATATTTTTAAAAAATATGTATTTATTGTTTTATGTGTATTTATTTATGTATATTGTTGGCAATTTTAGATTTTATATTAATTTGATAATTGAAACTATTTCTACTGTCTGACCTTTACCGAATATGATTTTTAATTTATGCTTAAGAGTGTAGTAATGTATGTTATGTAGTATAAAAAGGAATTTGTATTCTCATAAGGATAATAATGTTTGTTATTTTCTGATAGACTCCATTTGTACAGGGTTCTTCCCTCAAAACAAATAAAGGAAAAAAAAGAAACATAATGAAATATTAATAGTCACACTTTCTAATGAATTACAATTATCTGGATCTAAGAAATAGTCAGGATAAAATCTTGGATCTATGAGCGAACCATATAACAAATGTACAGTTCAATGGAAAATATAAACAAAAGCCATAATTATTAACATGGTGAAACATCAGAGTAATAAATTGAGGGAAGACAGTTTTACAACGTTCTTATCAAATGATTTTTACAACCGGATCGTAACCTTTCCCTATCAGGCGTCAGCTCAATATCATTCCGACTGGAGCGCTTCGGGCCATTGCAATCTTTATGGCCGATCATAATAATTGAAATTATAATAAATAAAAAAAAATAATAATATTTTTTTCGAACTCCAACAGTTTCCGTATTTTATTTTAAACTGTTAACTATATATTGTACATAAGGCCTCAAAGCATTGTTTTCAAATACAAAAATATATCTGATGATCGAGTAATTTTTGTGAAATTATAAATTGTTTAAAAAAATATGGAGGATAATAATCAATTATGATTTTTCACGTATTTGTGATAAAATTATATTATATTTCAGCTGATTAATTCTTTATCATATTAATTAGTAATTTAAATATAAATCAAGATGGAAAGTTTAATTATTTATATGTTTTTAGTCTGCATAAATGATTAAACTCATCATAAACATCATATGATCAGTAATTTATATTAGGTTACATTTATAAAACTTATTAACTCGAAAAGCTCCAAATTCTTAATTTACGGTTATCTATTTTCTTTTTTATTACTATTTTATATAATAACTAACCAATACACGGACAATCATAAACAGTTCTACTTTATCGATTTTCCTAATCTCATCATTAAATTTAATATAATATGATCTTAACTAGTGTTACCAAAAATCAATCTTGCACAATACAAGACCAAGACCAATGTCGTCTAATTGTTGTCCAATGTTGTCTAAGTCCAAAACTGGCCAAAAAAGAACAAAAAAAAAACAAAAACAAATTGGTATGTTTAGAAACGTTACAATGTATGTTTTATTTTGTTTTTATTGTTTATTGAAAATATTACAATCTCCCTACAAGGACATTTATAATAGTGTTCAGAGATCACATTCACACTCTATTTACAATAATAATAATAATACAATCTTTTGAATTATAACTGATTTTAATAATTTTTCATTTTCCCGTTTACATTGCTTTAGTTCATCAAAGAAATCGAACTCTAATGATTTCTCTGAACTGTTATCAGGAAAATTAGTCGAATTCAGTTGTGTTATTTTTAATAAACATATTTAAAATTGAAAAAAAACAATGAATTTAAAATCGATAGGAAACTCGTGTGAGTAGAAAAAACAGATTTGTTATTTAAATAATTGGTGACACTTTACTTTACAACTCTTCCATTCAAAGCGGAAGTCTATTACTATCTTTCTTAACTATGCCTTTTAATGTATTGTAAAGTTAATTTTATCAATATTTTTTTTTTACTATGTTTATATGTCAATAAAACATTTAAATGTATCTATCATGTAGCGTATTTCTAAAATCTAAAGTAACATCTTTATAAATAGCAAAAAGGTAATAGGCAACTGCAAGACTCTTGAGCAAGACCAAGACTCGTCTAATACTATTGTAATTATTTAAAAAGGTTTGAGGTAAAAAGTACAGATCAACTTTTAATATAAATTCAAATTGTTTAAGTAACATATTTTATAGGATATTTATATATAATTTTTCCCTTCAGAATTTTATGTTCTATCTCAGTGAGGAATATTCTGCCGAAATCACTCGCGATCGAAAGATTGAAAAAAAAGTACATAGCCTTAAAAAAAATATTTCATTCGTTCATCAACTTGTAGTTTGTCATTAAAAAACAAAAACAAAGGCATTGCTTTGCATGAAAAGTCCGGATGGTAGTATCTATATATCATTTAGTAAGTTAATATTTCTGTACAATAAATCATAATTTGAAAATCCCAGTGTTTTTTGTTTTTGTTAAACCAATCTTACTTTGTTGGCATCTTAAATCAATTGTAAATATGCCAATGCCGTCGAGATTAGTAAAGGAACAAATAAATATTAAAGTTTATCTGAATTAATCATTTTTTATCTGATCATTATATATTAGGTCAATACTCGTACATGGCAAAGCTTTGGGGAATTCTGGAAATTAACAATTATTCTGGAAATAAAGGAGAATTGTATACTGAGTTTTTTTGTGGCCAGTGAACTTTTAAATGGAGGCTAGCCATACAGATCTATTTGGAACTGACGCAATGCAAGATAAGGTTTGTGAGTCATATTCAAATTCTTATTGATTGATAACTGTTTACGGACCGTATAGAATAAATAACACCCAAGTTAGTAATGCTCGCGTTGTGTAGTAAAATTATAAAACATTCCTTATATATATAAAATATATTATATTATGTTTACAACATCAAAAAGAATTAAGAAAAATATTTGTTGATAATTTCATAAAGATTGGTATAGGAGTTAGGAAAATGAATAATAGTGAATAAAACCGTATCGGATGAGTCCATAATATCATTCAACCATAGCAACAAATTCATTTTCTTTTTATTACCATGAGGTTTCGGTGTTTCCTAGAATGATTTTTTTTTTTTCTAATTCTTAACACTCCTGGTTAAAGGATACTTGTGATGATTGATTTTGTGCTCTTCAGGGAGCTAATCAATTGAATCAATCGATTACTTTACTAATCCATAATTTGCAACCTTTGTTATACATACACTCATATGAAGTAAGAGGTACGTCACTTACTTCACAACCAATTTAATAAACTTTGAAGTTTGTTTTACCAGGACTTTAAATGAAATGTTCGGTTTATTTGAATAGTTAATAATGTTCTTTTCTAGTTAATTATTTAGTTAATATAGTTTCAATTATTATGATCAGTCATAAATATTACAATGGCCCGAAGCGCTCCAGTCGGAACGATATTGTATTTAAAATTTGTTACTGTTATTGTGGAAATTTGCAAATATATTGGAATTATTGTGAAAAGAACTTTTTCCCTGGCAACTTTTCAAGTGAAGTTTTAAAAAAAAATTAGTTTTAACAAACTTTTATTCGGAAAGTTCTATTGATTGCGAGAAAAAGTCGATCTAAAAAGATGACTTTTATTTTTAGCTACTCAAACAAACGACACCTCATAATCAAGTAATTCATTTAATATTATAACTCTATTTTAAGACCAATTACTCCATATTTCTCATGTAACGTAACTTTTTTAAAGAACTTAAATAAATACACGTTAAAATTTTACCATAAACCTAGAACTGTATTAGAAAAAAAATTGGCAAAGAACTTTTATTTTAAACATGCTTACAAAAAAGTTACACATAAACTGTTAAAGTGAAACAGTTTCAATCACTGATTTTATTACGAAGTTCCCCATGGAACCTTAAAGATATGGAGTTTTAAATCGAGGTTCCACTGAATGATTTTTATGGTATTATTAATATAACAGACACGATTATCCCACTAACCGATATTGTTGGACCATTTCATGGAGGATATTTCTCTTTATTATCACCTTCTTCCTAGCATCTTATTCAAGTTCAGATCCTAGGAGATTCTATGGAAGATGGAATTTCCTCCCATCTCAAAACCCCATCAGAAAGAACGGTTTCGGCGGACACGCAGGTCGGACCGATGAAGCCAAGTCGTCTTACGGGAGTACGTGAGAAGTCTCCGCTGGCGGAACGCATCCACGATTTCTTGGTCCGGACCCCCGCCGCTTTTAGTGACGGTTAACGAGTCAATGGTCCATGGCAAGCAAGTTGGCCAACTCGGACCAAGGTTAATACCCCATGACCGACACGTCACCGCCTCCATGAGTAGCTCACATATCAAAGAAGGTATCGATTTAAACCAAGTTTTTTTTTTATAATTTATCACGACCTGCGGTGATCTCATATAGAGAAAAAAGGCGATGATGGAAAAGATTTTGAATTAAAAGTCCTAGATGGAACGAAGATAAGTTTCAAAGGGACCAAATATGAGTTCCTATTTGCATCTTGTACACTTAAAGAAACATTAATGAAAGTTTATGTTTGTAAAGCGGACATAAAGGAGACAGTGTGTGAAAATACAAACTGAAATAGGCGCCTAGATACGCATGGTTTTAGTAAAAACAAGTTTTTTATTTCCAGTTAAGGAGATAATATTTTTATTTCATTTCATAGTTAGTGAGGACAAAGGAAAGGAGACTATATTACGATATAAGTAGTGAATTAAGCCTAAGCTTACGACTATAGCACAGTCCCTCAGCCTACAATGACTTTTAATATCAGTGACGTACCGAGAAAAGCAATGAAATTCCTTTATGATAACTTCATTACATAAATATTTAAAGAAATTATATAATGCATACCTAGTTCTGCCATAAATACTGTTACAAAAGTTGGAATTTGTTTACATCCTTAGTTATTATTAAGATAATCATTACATCTATCAAGTTATTTTCTTTGCGTGTCAGGATAATAATCCCAATTAGTTCGTATTTTTCTTTCGCTCAGTTAACATGTAGTGGGATGATAGAAAAACAAAAACAAATAGCAGTGATCACCTTACACAAAGTTGGCAAATGTAGGTCAGAGAGTTTCAACAATTTAAAAACCTTTGGTTATCAGCTGTATCTTCGTGTACCGCACCATAAAAAGATATAATGAGACCCTATCTGTATGTGACAGACCTCGACGCCCACACTGTGAGAAATGCACTGAGAGCAGTGGCTGCTCGAATCAGAAGAAATCCCATTCGAAAACAACAAATGATTTCTCGGGCAATGGGAATCTCTGTCAGATCAATGTCTTGCATAATAAGAAGTGACCTTAGCATGGGTGCATTTCGAAGAAAGATAGAACAAAGGCTAACCCCTTCCCTAAAAAAAATATTAGAGTGGATAGATGCAAAGTGCTCAATGGTCTTCATCGAAAGATTTTGTTTAGCGATGAGAAAATGTTCACAATTGAAGACAAATTTAATCGCCAAAATGATCGCACGCAGCTCTAAAGAAGTCCAGTCATTGTAAGAGTGGAAAGAAGTCATCACCCTTCCTCAGTGATGGTTTGGTGGGGAGTTTGCTTTGATGGTACCACAAAGCTCCATTTTTGTGATAAAGGATAACAGACGCTAAAAACTATCTGAATCATATTTTGGAACCTGTTGTCAAGCCTCTAAATGATACCCTGTTTGCTGGAAGTCATTGGGTTTTCCAGCAGGATTCCGCTCCAGCTCACAAGGCCTGGTCAACTCAGCAGTGACTGCAAAAGAACATTCCAGAGTTCATCTCTGCCTTGCATTGACCTTCAGTAAGCCCTGATCTCAATCCACTAGATTATCAGATTTGATCCGAACCGGAGAAGATGGCACGCCACAGAGCACAGAGCATGGTATGGCACACCCTAACTTGGAAAGCCTCAAACAATCTGTGGTCGGAGCGCTTTCCTCAAAAAGTGCTGTGTACTGCTATTGATGAATGGACACGGATTGTAAATATCAGAGTCAAGGTAAAAGGGAGACATATTGAGTAATTTCTTTTTTGTTTTACTCTCGATAGATATACAATTTATTTTCTAATAAAGATTCTGACAAAAAAAAAAAAAAAAAAAAAAAAAAAATTATGTTGAAATCAATATATATTTCCTTGTTTGAATAATATTTTTGACTGGACTAAATACTATACATATTCATACCGAATCGAGACAATACGAAAATTGTAAGAGCCTAAACATCCGATTTGATTATTTGATACCGTTTAAAATCGGTATTATCCTTGTAATTATACTGGAATTATCATAACGATTCTTTTAATTTAATTTTTTTTTAGAATTCGAAGTATTGAGATTAGCGTGAATTCAAACAATCTGATAATATACAGAGTGTCTCAGTTCTAAATGGCCCGAATCTGGGGAGGGATTTTAGACAAAATTTCCAATAGTAAAGTTCATTTGATGCATTTTTCCGATGGATGATGATTCCAGACGGAAAAGCAGTTAGGACCAATTTGTAGGTACGTTTCAAAACTTTCAAGCTTTTGGCCATTAAGAATTGAGACACCACATGTATAGTTTAGTTTGTTTTGTATATAGAATTTTCACCTTATATTTTTTTTACATTATTTCTTTTTTTCGATTGATTTTATTTTGGCCAGATGTAATATTTTAATTTTGTTCTATTTTGTTATTCTCAAGGAACTGTGTCCCAGAATAAAGTTATTTTTCTATCTATCTATCTAAAAATTTATGTCAAAAATATGATCAGAAAAATAAATAAGATCATTATTATTTGAGTTAATGTCTCTTCAGTAATAAAAAATTAAACTAACTATGTACCATGGTCCATCTAAGAAATAATTTTTTGAACTGTAGATAATTTTCTTGTTTTAATTATTCATTGAAATTTACAACTGTCTTGTTACATTAAAAAAAAAGATAAATGACTTAGTTTTTGAAGAGCCAATTTTATTCAATATTCAAATATGGTTTTTAATTCAAATTTTTTCGCCTTCCTCCAGAAGTCATTAAAGATTGTCACTTGTGAAAAGATTTTATGGGTATTATATTAGTTTCTTGTAGAATGTAACTTTATCTGGCAAATGATTAATGCTAGTATTTATTAAGATTATTGTGGATTTAGAAATTAAATCTTAAGAAGAAGGAGAATCAATTATTTTAAATGATACATTGAGTAAATTTATAATACGTATTATGACAAAAATCAAATATGATTTATGATATATTATCTTAAATGCCAAAAATATATCAATGACAGTTGATAATTGAATTTGAAACAGAAAATCTAAAGAAATTTTTTAAAATGATTTTATGGATATTTAAATATTGAAAGATTTATATATATATATATATATATATATATATATATATATTATATATATATATATATATATATATATATATATATATATATATATATATATATATATATTAATTTATTTTTAGCATTAAGTAAATATGATTGTGCCCAAGTTCAGCTGTAGCCGATTCTTTTAGTGGTTACGCCATAGATATTTAGTTATTTTAAATTCCTGTATTTTTTGTACATATTTATGTGTAGGAGCACTTACATTCAAATGACACTCTATACCAAGTTTACAAACAGCTTTGTCTGTTTATTTCAGTCGTAAAACTTATCTTTATTTTCTTTTTTTAATAATTAAAAAGGAGAATTACAAGGACTACACGTAATTAACTGTTTATTTTCATACCTAATCTTGAAACAAATACTAAGGAAACATAAATTCTATTATCACTTTCACATTATATTGTGGAGCGTTGCATGTGACCAGGGCAGCTGCTTGCTTGGCTGGTTAATGTGTTGGATTATTACCAACCCCTAAAGCATTACGTCCTCTCGTCGGAGTTCCACGACAATATAATGCATACATTTTACATGGAAGGGGGAGTTATAAATCAATACGCTTATTTATTCATACACACACTGAGCGACTATTAAGTTTTAAGCTTCACTTTTTGATGCAAAAAAATGTATCGCCAGCAACATTAAAAAAATGATAATGAAATAATAAAAAGAAAGTATGATAGCTAATTGTATCTTATTCATGCCCTACGTTATGGATGGAAATATGAAAAAAAAAAATATATCGACGTATCGAGCTTCAATGTTTTTAATCTTTGAAAAAAGGAGAAGAGCATTAACAATGAGGCGTTCGTTATATTTGTAATAGCTTTAGCAATTATTAAAATTAAAATGGGTATTCGTGGGTCAGTGGGCGTTACCAAAGACAAACAAGGGAATGGAAGACGTTGGCTAACTTTACCACAGCCACTACAGATAGTATAGTCGAATAATGCATACAATTACATTTTTTAAATATTACCGGTAGAGTAGCAATCAATGTAAGTGAGGCGTAATGTACCCAACATTTCGACTGGCCGCAAACAGAATCCATCCCGCGCACACACAGTATTATCTTATCTTCCATTAATTATGCGCAGAGCGTGTGCTGGATTCAATATGGAGTGAACATTATTCATCAGAAATTAAATTATAATAAGGATTGATTCTTAAGATTCCAGTATTAAAATATTAAAAATACAGTTCTGTACTTTATTTTATTTTTCTGTTGTCATTACAGACCTGCCTATTTTGGACCATTTCTTTCCGGTTATCTGCATGCTGCTCAATTGCATATTTGTTGATTCAATCAATCCATCTGGTTTTTGGCCTTTCCCTTGACCTCTTGCTTGATTGCTGAGTAGGGACTTCCTGATGGATTGCTCCGAGCTACATGCCTCACCCATCTTTACCTCCTTGCCTATATGTAATGGGATATTGATTGACCAGTTTTTGTAACCACTTTTTTATATGTATTTCTCTTCCATGCGTTAGTATTTCGATTCCAGATCGCTCCGGTTATCTTTTCCTCAAATCTTTCAATACTTCATTAATAAGTTCTGGTTAGAGTCCGGATCTCGTAGCCGAATATAAGAACTGCCCTTTTTATAGTATTTTACACATTTAATTTGATATTTTTTTTAACTTCAATGCGTTTAAAAGAGAGGAGAAAGTTCTCTTTGCTCTTTTTATACGCGTATCCTTTCCTACAGTTTCCTGCGGTTGGTCCCTTATATACTGTGCTTTATAATGAATATAATCGTGCAGGTAACGTTCCGGAGAATACTAATTATAAGGAGTTCGAAGAATATTTTATTTTGCCAAGATATTCTTTCAGTTAACTGTTAGATAGTTCCCGTTCTTCAGATTTATATATAATGACCCTCCGAACCGCTGCTTTCGATAAATCTTTTATTATTCGATCCTCATTCCTATGGAACTCCATACCTCCCCAC